TTATTAAAGTTTTAAAGTACTTTTTCAATTAAATACATTAGTTACACAGTATAAAAATGATCATCACTTTATATCACGTTTAGTGATAGTATCGAAAGTCCACTATGCTGACCTACTGTAAAAATAACTTTCTAACAAGTTAATTAGTTTCGACTAAGGAAATATCTTTTCTCATAAGTTAATTAGTTTTCGACTAAGGAAAACTTTCTAACAAGTTAATTAGTTTTGACTAAGGAAATAACTTTTCTCGTAAGTTAATTAGTTTCGGCTAAGGAAAACTTTGTTACAAGTTAATTAGTTTTGACTAAGGAAAACTTTGTAACAAGTTAATTAGTTTTGACTAAGGAAAACTTTGTAACAAGTTATTTAAACTATTATCTTCTTTAAACAAAATTATTCGCTAATAACAAAATCAATTCATTGATCCCCACAAAACAAAAATAATTGTTATCACCAATTAAAAGTACGCTCTCCCAAAATTAATCGGTGACAATTAAAGATGTTAGCTGAAATGGTTTTTGAAAAAATCAATTTTGGCAGGCAATTTCGGATTTACAATATTTTCATAATAATAATGATGGACATAAAAAAACTACCCAGAATTTTGGCTATTGAGTTAAAGTGTTCAAATAATTGAGTATAATTTCGGCAACTATTTCGGCATTTTGGATTCGCTGACGATCATTTACTAATACTAAGTGAAGTAATTTCGGCTAACATCTTTAATGACCAATACTTAAAAAAAAGTGAATTAATTTTTTGTTATTCATGCTCTCTTATTATTACCTATATATTAATATTATTATCATTGATATCAGAATTAATAAACCATAGATGACAGGTGATGATAACAATACTATAAAAAATTTGGCATGGAAAACTGTACGGAATTTGTGTGAAATTTTTTATAGGGCCTAGTAACCAGATATTCCACTACTTCTCTTCTGCACCCTCTGAGTATCATCTAAGATCTGTGAAACTGATGCACTTTCTAAACAAGAAAATTGACATTGAAAGTGATGAGTGGAGTGGTGAGGGCGATTAATCTTTGCTGTAATGAGTTAGATTCATCATTAAGATTTTGAGCATCTTGAACTTCTGATAGGTTTCATTTAAAGAAATACTTTCAAGTAATACTCCTTTTTTTACTTCCTCCTCATAAATTATTTATTTTTAGTATGAGTTGAGAACTAACAGTATTTAAAGATGATGGATTTGATGATAATTTTCTAGGTTTAGAGTAGGACTGCAAATATAACAATCATGATTGTTGTACCCTTTTAATTCTGGATCAATAAGCATGTTTTTTGATAAGTGAAATAAGTGAGTTGATCTGATAAATAAAAGGAAAACAGATTTATCCCTAGTTCAGGATTTATTCAGCTAATTAATTGATTTCAAAGAAAGTCAATCAAAATCTTCTATGCATTAATGAATTGAATGGAATTGGTGTGATACAAATTATTGTCAACACTTGAGTTAACATTTACAAATTGAAGCTGACTACCATCTGACATTTCAATGAATATAATTTTTATTTTTAATTAATTATGACAAAAACATTTCATCAGGTATCATTTAATCATGACATCATTAATGACTCATTTTTGACATTTAACTTTAGTAATTGTTAATTACCATAGTCAACATTTGTCATTCTATTTTTTTTTTTTCATTATTTTATTGGACAAAAATATGTAAAAAGTCATGTTATTTGTAATACTTCAAGAAGTATAAATATGCTTGAATCTCCTTCAAGCATAATAGAAGTTTGTTCATGTCACATGCAGATCATTAATTTGTGACACAATTGAATTATATTGCGAACATAGTAATACAACGACTTTTTATATCTTATGTAACCTATTTTTTTTAGAAGGTACGTGATAAAAATATTACAATTTAATGTTTTTCATACCTCCTTCTGTATTTTTAGACATTTGGATCGAATGGGACCGAATAGATTCATGATCTAGATGAGAAGAAAAATTTATTATAGAAGAAGTAACAAATTAGCAATAAATAGTGGTAATTTCAAATAATTTTTTTTAATACTACACAATAAATGATTTTATCATTTTCCATATCATCAATTATTAATTTCCATATCATCAATTATTAATTTCAACATTGAGAACAGGTTAAATCAAATATGTTTAGAGATTAAATCGAATATTTTAATTATTAATGTATATATAAATAATAAATAATAATAAAATAAAATACATGGTATATTGTATATTAAATATGTTATATGTAAATCTATTATTTAAAAAAATTTAATCACCATTCTTTTACTAATTCAAGCGCATTTTCTAAATTTAAATTTGAATTAGGATTTGGTGTATTAATTTCTTCCTCATCTTCTTCCTCTATTTCTTCTTCTAAATCATCATCTGTTAAAATATCTGGTCCCTTTTCTAATCTTTTAACAAAAGAGTCAACATTATTAAACACACCCTTCTTATAAAACTCTTCACAATGTCCACATCTATTATGTAATTTATTATAGCAATTTGCATGGTACCCATGTCCGCATATTAATATTATTCCTTCATCATTTTCAAAAGGTTTTTTGCAATGGTCACATAATTCAGGATTTGGTGGAAAAGAAGTATGATAACCAGCAGGAAGGGACCTTATATCTACGTGTGCATTTAAAGTGGGCAATTTATAAGTATTATTTTTAACCTTTTTTGCTATATTGTTATGCTTAATATTATTATAAATTGAATGAAAGTATTCTAATAAAAAGAAACTTGTTTTTGTAGTCAGCTCTTCCAACATAGGTTCGCTATAAGGATAATGATGATATTTTTTAAATTGATTTATGAATGTTTGATCATGAAGATCAAGAAGATACGCTTGATTAATTATTGCTTCAGGTGAATGTAAAGAAGTTGTATTATTCCTTATTTGGCTATGGATGTTTTCTACATAGTAGTCATTAAAATTAACTAAATGTGATTCTATAACCCTACTAAATATATGGCCATTATCTTTCCAATAATAATAGTCGGACAAAAAGGCTAAAGGAGCTTTATTGTAATTTTTTCTTTTCCACCTTAAAGCCAAAGTCCAAATACGAAAGAGTGTTTCAAAGTATTCATTAAAAGAACCTGACCTGAACAAAATTGCATATATATCCAATGTAGCAGGTATTATATTATCTAACAAGTCTATCATTAATCTATATTCTAAATTTTTACATGTATTGGGAAATTTATTCATAATAACATTCGCAATTTTTTTCCACCCTTTACTTGCAAGATCTAATAGGAGGTTAATCCTCCAAGGCTTTGGTTTTTTTGCTAGGATTTTTCTTGACCCAAAAACGTAATGAAATAATTGATTAAAGAACTCCCAATGTATTATAATTATATATTCTCTTGAATTTAAAGATACATGTAGAGGACCAATCAATGGTACAAAATTTTTAATAATCTTATATTCATCACAAACACTCTGACTTTGTTCTTGATTATTTATTTTTGTAATTGCCTTTCTTATAAACAGCTGTCCAGGCCAATCTGCTGATATAGCAATTATATTGTTCTTCAAATACTTTGAAATATTTTCGATTTTTATCAATGATAAAAGGACATCAACATAATCATTTAAAGAATGGAGATTTTTTTGTTGTACATTGACAATACGAACTTCTTTCATGGATCTATCTTGATGTCTTTCTAAGATTAATGGATTATAAAAATGAATGGTGAGAGACTCAATCCTATTTGATTCTTCTACATTTAAATTATTTGAAACCCATGTTGCTTTACGTGTGTTATAACTAATATCAAATATTCCTTTAAAGTCATTTAATAAATGATAGTTTATTCTTTGAGCCTCAATATTATTAGAATTATGAATGTAGACTCCATTATAAATCGCAGGAACTGCTTGACATTGCTTTATCATTTTAGAAACTGATGTTGCCATATGGTGGGCTGTAGAAAGAGTGGTAGTATTTGGTCTTCTCCATCCATGAATGGAATGATAATCATCAATATTAAAGCAAAATAATAAATGACTCTAAAAGGAATGTATATATTAATAATTTATTCTATTTATATTAAAATTTAAGAATAGAAACTGATATTACTTACATATTCACCAAAATTTTCATTTATTTTTTGTGGATGTTTTAAAGCAAGATCTTTTTTATAATTTTCAATTGTTTTATAACATGTTGTGATTCCCATATTTGCAAGTGTATCAATGGCTGTGCAACTTGCACCTGCTCCAGCAAGGTAAATACCAAGATCAAGCTTTAAGGAATTGGTAAATTTGTTACGTAAACCTACTAACAAATAACAAAATACTACAATAGATCTTTTTGCTGCTTCTTTATTGCTTTCTGTCCTTTTGTCTGGAATTATGGCATCAGTCATTTCTTCAAAAAAACCTTGGAGTCTTGGATCACTTTGTTCAATCATGTCGGAAAATTTTGATGGATCTGACTCTATGCCCTTTTTAAATTTTCTTTGCTGTTTGTAAAGAACTTTACTCAACAGTTTTATTTTTGTTGCAAATGAATCATTTCCTGTTTCTATATCAATACCATCATCAATAATATTTGTGTCTAAGTTATCATCAACATCATTATTATTTTCAGCAACATAATATGAATTTTCTTCAATTAGCAATTGCAAATTATTAATATGATCCATTATACTTTTAAAATCATCTTTGGATACAATAACATTATTCTCAATAGAATTTATTTTAATTTTAGACCAATCTAAGTTATCTTTTTGTTTATTAGTTATAGCATTAATTGAAGATTCACCAACCAAACCACCTTCGGCCAATTTTTTATTATTTGTGTTTTTCTTATACTTCTCATGTCTGTCTGGCTCAACTATATTTAAATAATGTATCCTGTAGCATAATTGATCATCTTTTTTTAAAAATCCATATTCATTATTTACATCTTTAAGTCTAATTTTATTAATAGTATAATCAGTTAACTTTCTGAATTCATTATTGGTGTTAGTACAGCCAGGTATAACACATGGACCACAATTTTTTGGAGGCATTTTTGATTTTAATGAATTTGTTCAATTTAGTTTTTAAGTTTAAGAGAATATTTGTATTTCTGATAAATAATTTAAGAGAATATTTGTATGTATTTCCAATAAATAATTTAAGAAAATATTTTTGAAAAAATCTTTCAGGTTGGAGTTTTCTCTATTTATATATTTTTAATTATTTATTCATTCAAGTTGACAAAGACCATATTAAAATGTTTCATTGACATGAATGAAGAAAGAAAACAGACATGAGTTTTGATACTAGTATATTTTTAAATCCTTTATTCCGTACAAAAATGTTTCATTGACATGAATGAAGAAAAAAAATGGAAAAAGAATGTGAGTTTTGATACCAGCAAATTTTTAAATCCTTTATTCCATACAAAAATGTTTCATTGACATGAATGAAGAAAGAAAACAGAAAAGGAACGCGAGTTTTGATACCAGTATATTTTTAAATCTTTTATTCCATACAAAAATGTTTCATTGAAATGAATGAAAAAAGAATACAGGTTTTGGTTATCAACATTGAATTCTTTATTCCGTACAAAAAAAACAGGAGTTTTGATTATCAGCATTGCATATTTTTAATTTAACAAAAAGACAAGGTGATTTTGTAAACTATAAACCTCTAATTTTTTTAAAAATTTTAATTATGAAAAAGAGTCAAATTGACAAAGAAAAAAAATAACTTTGGTTATGTCTGTCTGTGTATTATTATTTTCTTTATTCAATACAACGAAACGTATGTAACACATAATAAAATGTTGATTGTGATACAATGTGATAATTGCGAATGTCGATCAATATCAAACTTCTACTATGCTCGAATGAAGCAGAGAATTCTTATAGTGATCGGCGTGTGCAAAAATGGTAAAAAATCGTCAGTTGACAATGTTTAAAAAATAATAAGGCACAATGTTTTGGTATTACAAACTTTATTCTTTTTATGTAATATATAAAGTAAATCTCATAGATTATTGTATCAAAATATTAAAGGGTTTGGAATGTTTCTTGAAAACGTTTATATGTAGGAAGCTGAGATTTCAAGAAGTTCACAACATATAAAAATTTGGAATTTTTTAATTTTCAGCCAACACTATCAAGTATTCTGACCAGGGCTATACTTTTTTTTTTATCGGTTTATCAACAAAAAAACTTTTATTTTACCAAATGAACCACATGTTGTTATAAGTCAAGTCAATAAAGTAACTGCAAAAGAATTTTAAAGTAGTATTCAACGATCTTGAAAGAATTCTAAGGTTGTTCTTTATACTTTTTGTGTAGACATGAGAGTTATTGTGTGAGGACGGTGAGATTTGGGAATTTTCTCATTTTATTAATAACAATTAGCATAAAAATTTTATATTAAAATGTCGATCATTTCTCC